CTTACTGAATGAATTGTAGTAGTGTGAATCACGGATTATTTGTCGTATCATCCTTAGAGTTGACTTGTTATAATTTATGTTTTTGAATTGATTATTTAAATTTAATGCGAGTTTCTAGCTATATTAATTTCAATTTGTACCTGAGTACTACTTTTACTGATAATCTAGGTATTATTACCAGTTGGGGCATAAGCTATTGAATGGTAGTTATATTTGGAGCCAGCAATCCCACTTTAGAGCATCTCCATATCCTGGTCAAAATAGCTTGCAACGCGTTGTCATTTTTGGGGACATGGGAAAGGTTTGATCTCTCTTGAACCAGCAGCACATATTATCAACATTTGATCCCTTTCTCTTATTTGTGGCATTTTCTGGTATTGCCTTTAAGCATGGAAGACACTTGGGATATAAGACATTTGACTTAAGAAAGGAAATTAATTGGGCAATCTCATTTTCTGAATATTCATAAATTACGTGATGTTGCTTAACTTACCAAAAACAACCTCCATGGTTAAAGAAACCATCTGTAAAACTCCTTCACTTATTAGTAAGCCCTGAGATCTGCATTCAGAAGCAAACTCTTCAGCTTCTAGGTGGGAGTTCAAGAGACTAGATTTTCAGTTAACTGGGCAATTCATTACGTAGTTTTGTTATGTCTGGAAGGACATTATCTCTCTACCTTCATGATCTGTTAGTAGAACCTTGATAATTGGGCTAACCTACTCTCTAGTTCTAATATGTTTGAGAAGCACCCTGTGCTTATTTGTATTGTTGTTGTTGGGATGATAGACTACAATTTCACATTGCAGGATGAAGCGGATGGCTCAAATGAGTACAACAATTTCCAGCGTGGCTCTCTTAATACCACCTATCAGCTTGTTAAGGACTTGAAGAACATTGATGTAGTCTTCCACATTGGAGATATATGCTATGCTAATGGATATATTTCGCAGTGGGATCAGTTTACAGCGCAGGTTGAGCCAGTTTCCTCAAGTGTTCCTTACATGATTGCGAGGTTTGCCTTGGTTTTTCCTCCTCCTCCCTTCCTCCTCTTGGCACAGAGGTTTGGCTAATGTTGAAATTGCAGTTTCCTTGATTGTTAATGGCTTTTGGTCTGAGCAAGTATGTTTAGGAATAAATTTATCGATCAATATTACAATCTGGATCCTGGAGTCATCTAGCTTTTCTAGTGGGACTTACTTGTTTTGTTTTTCAGTGGTAATCATGAACGAGATTGGCCTGGAACTGGATCCTTTTATGGAAATACAGACTCAGGAGGTGAATGTGGTGTCTTGGCTGAAACAATGTTTTATGTTCCTACAGAGAACAGGGCTAAGTTTTGGTAAGGATGAGAAAGAGGACATCGCGATTCGCGAATGCAACTTTTTATCTTGTCTAACATAATCCCAGGCTGTTCTGAATGTTGTTTTGCTTGATCTAGGTATTCCACTGATTATGGCATGTTCAGATTCTGCATTGCTGATACAGAACATGACTGGAGGGAGGGAACAGAGCAATACAAGTTCATCGAGCACTGTCTAGCATCTGTTGATAGGCAAAAACAACCATGGCTGATTTTCCTTGCACATCGGGTATTGGGTTATTCTTCTGCTGACTTTTATGCTGTGGAAGGATCATTTGAAGAACCAATGGGCAGGGAGAGCCTTCAAAAACTTTGGCAGAAGTACAAGGTTGACATTGCCATCTATGGCCATGTTCATAATTATGAAAGGACTTGTCCTATTTACCAGGTATACCTGTGACTTTATTCTGTAATGGAGTTGCATCATATCTATAATTGCTCCACTATCGTCAACTTAGCACTTGAATGTCATGTCATTCTGTTCTAAAATGGCTAGTCTAACATTTCGTTTTTTTTGTGGCGATAAAATAAACATTATTATCTTAGTTATGGAAAGCCCGATTTTCGCAGAAAAAAAAGCAATTTTTTTGTATCTGATGCAATACATTTCACAGAATATGAAATTATATTAGCAATTTATTTGTTTTCAGAAGCGATAATCTTTTCATTGCCTTGTGCATCCACTTTTATATGTTAGTATTATTTTGTTTCTAATGTCACTGTTTGATGGTCTAAAAAAATGGTCACCATTTGGTATACATTATTTAAGTGGAAGTCATCAATTTGCATAGTGTTTGTTCTGAAAAATGATCCATATCTGTGGATAGATTAGCCTAGTTCAAGTAGCTTAGACTGAGAATCTAAGCTGAGAATCTGAATTGATTGTTCTTAGTTGAGGATTACTGAGGGAATTTGAGGAAGATGAATTTTTCTTTTTCTATTTCAAATCTCTGAGTACTCTTCGACCAAAACACATGCATGTGTTGGTCGCATCTTGTGATTTGCTTCTCCTGACATAAAAGGTTTCGGCTTGATATGGGACTTCATCTAAAAATTTTAGACTTCCGAATTCTGATCCTCCTTTTTGGTTTTGGTTTCAGAATATTTGCACAAATGAAGAGAAAAATTACTACAAAGGAACTCTGAATGGAACAATACACATCGTGGCTGGTGGTGGAGGAGCAAGCCTTGCGGAGTTCACTACTCTCCAAACAAAATGGAGCTTGTTCAAAGACTATGATTATGGATTCGTAAAACTAACTGCATTTGATCATTCAAACCTATTATTTGAGTACAAGAAGAGCAGCGATGGAAAAGTTTACGACTCTTTCCGAATCAGTAGAGATTATAGAGACATCTTGGCTTGCACAGTTGGTAGTTGTCCAAGCATGACACTGGCATCGTAACTCGGAAACATAAGGCAGATAGATAGCCAAATGGTTACCAGAGTTTGTCATCCTTGTATCAGGAGTTTTGTACCGTGTGACTTCTTCTCCTCGGATGTTTTTTTTCTGTAAGCATCACATAAAGCCTTATTATTTATCTCTCTGATGTTATCTCTCAAGGCTGTTGCGTCGTCTGTCGTGATATATCGGCTCCAAAATCAGTAGGATATAAGTCATATCCAAACGGTGACATCTTGACCCTATTAATATGTTTGGTTGGACCTTCCAAGTGCCGTCTCTTTTCCAGCAATCCATTTATTCATATAAGTTATGCGTACAATCGGCAGGTCATTAGATTATCTTCTCGACCGCGAGTGAGAAATGTTCTAATTGGATAATCCAGTGCTCAGTAGGCATGCTGTGGACTGACATCAAAATGCAAATTGATTAGTTCTGGTCCCTGAACTCGAAAACATTCTGGCATGCACGTATATACAATGCTTAAATGAGTTTTAATTTTGATATGTGTATTTTGTGTTAGGATCTAACTCTCAGATTATATGTGTGTATCGGGAATTTATCTTCTTGAGGCAAAGGTTTCGCAATCTCGACATGGGTTACCTACTTCAAAAATCCGTGCCATTCTCAAATGAAAAAACTTTTTGCGTCTGATAAAATGCATTGTCAACATGAAGTGCATGGATTGCAATCACAAACCGTCAATGGCAAACTATAGAGATACTTAATAAGCGCTCAAGGATAGTAAACATTCGTATAAAAAGAGAGCATAAAAAATTCACCACACGAGGTTTTGTCAGAAATACGCGGTCCGCATTGCTATTTGACAAGATTGCAGCATGCAACCTAAATTTAATGCAGAAGCAATGTTAGGACACCGTAAAAATCTTTAACAAATTTATGGCAATACGTGGCAGTACGGAAAAGCTTCTTCTTTTTTTTGCGGATATCATTTGTTTCTGTTCAAGCAATAAGCATTTTAACAAATCTTGGTTGATTATTGCTCGAGGGCAGGTCATTACATTTATCAGACAGGTACCACCTGGAAAACAAGGAACAGACAACGTTGTGTGTGTGTGTGTGTGTGTGTGTGTCTGAGAGACAAGAGATGGGTTAGTTAGTAACAAACCTGAAGACCCACCGAAGGTGTCTCCCTGCCTTACATCATTATCTATCTGATTGCAACCTGCAGATGCTTCCTTCGTTTTATCTTTCAGTTTTCGCATGTTTGATTGATTGGATCCTACCATTTTTACGGAAGCAATCAGGATAAACAGACAAAAGCAGGAGAAATTTAAAGGACATCGATCGGTTTCATCTGATTATCATCGTTTGTTTGGCGCAATTTGTCTTGCATTTACATTCATCTTCACGTCTGGCCTTCGCGATGGAAGAAGTCATTCGTCAACAGAGGTTCCGGCAGTGCAATCATCACGACAAACGGTCATTATTGCTTATACAACCATCCTTTTTTCTTCTTGTGTTTTTTTCGTCTGGATAGTTGATTAGGTCAGCTGATGTGAAGCTAATGATTTCAGGAGCCGCTCGCTCCCGACAAGTTATGTTTTCTCACTCGAGGAGATGTTATAGGATTGGCATCAGGGCACTGCGTGATTTCCAGGTTTGAAGTTTCCCGACTTACCTACATTGTTCTGAATATTTGCATTCGTTTTAGGTTCTATGGCAGGTAATATAATCAAATGTTGGTAGGACCAAATTAATGAAGATGTACACTCCCTAAATGAACATCCATGTATCGGGATGTAGTAACACGTGAAAACTGAAGGATGGTTGGGAAGTATGATAACAACGAGAGTCGTTATCTTGTGATTCGAAAACCGGCTTTAGCTGAATCGGTGTTTCTTGTTCTTTATGCACTAGTGATCGACCTTGTCATAAATAGGAGTTTAGAATTTTTGAGTTTATGTAATGACTGTAGGTGATGCGGTTGGTTGATAGCAGGAGATGCTATCACTACTACGCGACTGCTTCTTTTTTCTTCTTCGCCGGTGTTGCTTCTGAGATTTCGATGATTACTTCCTTAACTCATATCCACATGAAAGATGCATAACTAGAGTCTATATAATGCACTTGACTCATCCTTCCGTCATATGCTCCAATCATAATCCTATTCTCCTTGAAATATATTCGATTTTCTGCAACGATCAGTATTTGTTTTGTGCTTTCGTAATTGTCTAATAATCTCCGGTTCGTCCCACAGTTGCAGAAAATTCATAATGTATGTCCTTGCAATTCCTGTATTATTGAACATGGCAGTGAAGAAACTACAGATTGCCAATCCCCATTTTCATTTTACTAGGTTACTTAGCAATCAAAAATTGAAAGTACTCCAGCAATGGACAAGGGATTCAAGGTTGAAAGTACTAAGCCTCTAAGGATGCATTCAGAAAATCTCAAGGAGAGTCAAAGCAGCGAGCAGTCGACGTCTGCATCAGATAGAGAAATAACAGGAACGATTGGTAGTGGCGAAAACCGTCCGAAGAATAACGATAGGAGCAGAAGTAATAGCAGTAATCTGTCGAAAGGAAATTTAAAGGCCTTGAGTCCTGAACGAGATCTATCGGCACTGTCCAAGAGCAAATTGGGGTCCATCACTTCCCTGTCTTCATCTTTGTCCAATGCATCATTAGACGATATCTCCCAAGTAGGGGCAGGCGAATTAATCAAGCCCGAAGCAGATGGTATCGCTCCTTCGCCGGGACATGATGAGTATTGTCCATTGAAGTTACGGAAAGAAAAGGACGCCGTGAAGGTATCTTCAAAAGCAGAACACGACTCGGAGTCCTCAGTTGCCGCATCGACATCGCCCATGTCTGACATCACACACGAGTCGCTACTTCATAGTACGTCGCCGACGCAGTCTCCTCCAATCCAGGTGATGGACCGATCGGGTGGGTACAGCCCTCATAGGATTCCATCTTCTGTATTCGAAAGGAGCAAACCTTCGACACCTATTGAATGGAGCATTGCTTCCAATGAGTCACTCTTTAGCTTACACATAGGGAACGTCAGCTTCTCAAGAGACCATGTAACTATGCCTGCCGATTCGCTGAAGTCCGAGGAATTGGGCAGGTCCAACGAGTTCATTACTATCAGCTCGCCACCTCCGCATGAGGTGGCATCGCTTGACCTAATCGTCGACATGGAAAAGAACCCCGCAGCAAATACCAAGAACACAGAATTTACCAAGGACGTACGGAAGGAAAATGGAAATAGCGGATTTGTGGAAAAGGCGAATTCTCCAGTGGTGACTTGGGGTTCCTCTTGCCTTTCCAGTGAAAGTAGAACGAGCCTCCCATCTTTCTCTTTCCCTGTGTAAGTCAATACTAACTTCGAGCAGATGAATAAATAGAAGATGACATTATTTGCTCAAGTAATTTATGAACAAAACGAAACATGTCTTGTATATGGATTCTACTAGAACTGGAAATGCATTGATCTTTGAAAAACTCCTTATAAGCAAGAACCTCTTAAGTTTTACTTATTCATAAAAGGTAAACGATTCTGTTTGCCTGAGAATAAAGAAACTGTCAACACTGCTTATTCCATGTGATCATGCATGTATGGTTGCATTTGTGAAAATTTGGTTTCTGTTTCTGTTTACTTATGATGCATAACCAACTCTTTGAAGCATCTTTCAATCAGCATTTCAATTCAGAAAACTAGTTGACGATCGTTAAGAATGTATACCCTTCGTGTGGTTGCAGAAAGAAGAAGAGTTCATGTCTGAAACCTAAGTGGATGAGGAAAATGTGTGTGTGTCGGAGAAAGAAGTGTGTGTGGCCGTTGTGCTACTGTTCTAATTGTAGTCGGGCATCCTGCTACCGTAAGTGGACATGTTGCTTCTGTAAATGGCCGAGCTGCTTCTGTAAATGGCCAAGCTGCTTCTGTAAATGGCCGAGCTGCCACTGTTGCAAGTGGCCGAGCTGCCACTGTAAATGTCCAAGCTGTTGTTGTCCTAAGTGTAGCTGTGCGTCCTGCTACCATTGGAACTGTAGCCGAAAACGGTTTTGTTGTTGTTCTTCTACCATGTATGATCCTCTCTCCTCTTACCTATTTGTTAGTAATTCACTTGGAGCAAAACCACTTATGAGTCCAATGTTCTGTATCATTGAACATTTGACTTGCAATTTTATAGTTTAGTGAACCAAATTTCTCATTTGTGTACTTCACCAAATTAGATGAAACCACACGGTTTTCTTCGTGGATTTTAATGCCTGTGTTAACCTGTGCAGATTGACGGACGTAGAGAAAAGCAATCCTGCGAGACTGGATGCTCGAACTCCCAGATCAACGGTCAGTGAGCGTGCTTGTTGCTCTTGCCATTCTTGCCGCCCTTGCCATGCTTGTTGCTCTTGCCATTCTTGCCGCCCTTGCCATTTTTGTAACTCTTGCGATTGTTGCTGTCATCTTGGCCTCTGTTGCTAAATTTTCACATTCTAAAGTTTTTATAAATTGTCAATCACAGTAGTTCTTCCACCAGTTTTTACCGGCCTGCTCTCAGATGATTTCGCTTACCCCAATCATTACATGGACTGGCCCGTATTACTCAGGTGCAACAGGATTAACGCCCAAAATTATTCTAATTAAGAGAGAAAGTACGAGGAAAACTCAAGAGTACATCCAATTTTGAAGGACAAAACCATCTAACCAACCCTAATAAAACTTGCTAGAGCTCGTTTCGTGCTGCTTTTAGGCAAACAAAATGGAAAACCTATAATCTATCCCCTTTTGAAGGACGAAACCATTGAAGCAATCTTTTGCAATATCTGTTTCTCTGAAGGGGAGGTCCATTCTTGATACCTGTGGAGGCTCCCTGTGAAATCTGTGAAGAGTCCATCCACTCCCATCTTGTTTATCCAGTAATCATATTCGATGTAAGGATCTTGATGGAAGTCAAAGTGCAAGAACGAATTCTCGTTGCGGAACGTGTAAGGGTGCACCTGCAACACAAAACCAGAATTCGTAACCAATCACATTTCCTACGCAATTTGTTTTTTCACCTCGGCAATTACTGTAAATGAAAGAATGCTTGTGTACACACATAGCCTTTGTATTCTGTGAATTGGAACATCTTGAGAAAACAATGTCGAATCGAAGGACTATGGAATACCATGCAGTGTAGACTAGATGAATTTAGCTTGTTATAACGAATCTAAAGTAATCAGGTTAGTGTTATTCTGCAGAAATTATAATAACCATCATTGACAAGGCACACTAACGACTGTATAATATTCTTTAGTGGCCAAGGACTCACCTGCAGGCCAAGAGCATGTGCTTTCGCAATAAGATCAGTCGCTCTCTGCAAGTAATTATCCGCCGGAGGAACAACGGTATCCTTCCATGGTCCGATTCCCATCACATAATCTTTGATATAGTTAAAATAACTGTCCGAGGTGATTTCGTTGTATGTCTGCACAAAGTCGTAATTTCATCAGGAAGAAAACAAAGTAGACAAACCACTATCAAGATTAACCCTGACAAGAAAGAGGTCGAACCTGATTAGTGTCCTCTGTTCGTATTGTCACGTCATCAATCAAGAAAACTTTCGGCAAGTCTGTGAGATTGGAGATATATACAAGTGAACTAGGCGCAAAACTCTGGATGAAGGCCGGTCGCTTCAGCCAGTCTTCCGACAGGTACGAACCCATGTATCCGTACTTCTGGAGGGTCTCCACAAATCTATCTTCGAGCTTCTTTCCATCGGACCATTTGACCTGTTCTGAGGAATATGAGTTGCTGATGACCAGAAATAGCGTTTTGCAAACGAGACACCAAAAAAAAAAATTGTAAGTCAACTCAACATTGTACAGTGAGCAAATAACGTACATGTTTGTTAACAAAAACCGGATTTTTTATCTCTGGATATATCCCGACTGTTCTTTTCGCATCGAGCGCAACTGAGATGAACTCTTCAAAGGTAATCGGCGGAAACTTTCCTGAAATTTATCCTATGGTCAGAATAATTAGCCAGCTTTTGCCAGCAGATAGGGGCCAGAAACAGGGAAAAAGGAACTTAGAGATCTTGATTTTGCTCTTAAAAGGAAAAAGCCAGTCGTTGATTGCCCATTTACATAGCTTCGCCATTCATATGCCTTTCTCATAGATTTTATAGAAGATAACAATGCGATGACATGAGACGACTTGACTGAATAATTTGGTCAGTGTCATATAGATGAGGACAAACCATTGTATTGCTGATCCCGGAAATCATATCGTTGCTTGGCTCGCAATGTTTTCAATTCTTCCAAAGTGAAATCAACTGCACATGACCAAGTAAATATGATGCAGCTATAAATATAGACGAACTCGACAACCCGGAAGAATGCCAAAGTTACTGGTTACAGAAAAAAGGCCTGTACTTCCGTACCAACAAACCATCCGGTGGTGTTGACCCATTGAACTTCGTATGTGGTTCTTCGGTCGGCAAACTCTTTACGTTCCGCGACATCGGTTGTATCGTCCAGCGTCACGTCATGATTGCAGACCAAGATTCCATCTTTGGTGGCCTGGATATCTGATTCTATGAAGTCTGCTCCCTCTTCAATAGCTCTCTGTCATGAACAACTCAATGTTTCAAATGACATTCCGTTTACTCAAATCCATTCATCTGTGCTTAGTTCCAATCGAGATTCCAGAAAAAAAAACTAAAGTGATCGCTTGACAAAGAAGAAAATGGGGAAAAAAAAAAAGACACCAAATTGGCGCTTTTCCTAATTCCCACGACAGGACCTATGTCAAGTACAATTTACTTCTTCTAGCAAAAAAAAAGTACAATTTACTTCAGCTCGAAAATTCGGATTGTTGTTCTCTTCTCTGAAACTTCAGTTGGAAACAATTTCCAGGACTAAAAGTGAACCATATGAAAACAGAGAGAACTAGCGGAAACCAAAAGGACGAAAGCTAATCGGTAAGCGAGATTTCACCATGTAAGCAGGAGCCGTTTCTTCTGGAAACTCCCCGTTCGACCCTCGGTGCGCGACATTGTATGCGCGGAATGTCTGGAGGGGTTGTTTCTCGCCTTCAGGGACGCTACTCGGCAGAGGATACGTCAAGGGTCTTCCAGCGCTTACACGAACAACGGTGGACGTCAACATGACCGAAAAAATCACACAACCTGCGAATCCACAATACATGATTCAGTGTTCTTTCTTTCTTCTCTTTTCCATGTCCAATGCATATCCAAGTTGGTAAACCATGGCCATCATGAGCAATGGAACGAGAAAGTCAAAACATAACAAACAAAGAAAAGCAAGGGAGTAATGCATCCGGGTTTTTACTGATCAAGGCCATGTTTCTCTTCATCTTGACTTGCTCTGCAGCTACTTTGGGAGCCCCCTTGTTTTCCTTTTCTTTTTTCTTTTTTGTTATGGGTCGTGCCGGCTTATAAGGGGCTGGAGATTTGCATTCGTTTGTTTGTTCTCCACTAAAAATCTGCATTCAAACTTGCAGATGAGGTTGGTCGTGAAAAAGATCCGGCAGTTTGTTGCAGTCAGCCGAAGAAATCAGATTTTCAATTCTTTTCTGTTTCTCTCTGGATAACGTGGATTTGCATGCGCATGCGAGTCTGTCGCATAGCGTCTGTTGACGTTCCCGGGATTCAAATTCACATAATACGCACTTGACTATTTCTAATACTATCGAACGGCTCATTCGTTCGCGTTTTTGGCCTTTTTTTCAGATCAAGGCATTGTCATTCGCATCATTATCCACCTACTTCCCTCTTCCTTACGAAGTGAGATGTGATGAGGCCAGATATCGCATACCAGATTGACCATCATCCGTTCGTGTGTTCAATCGTTAGAACCGTGCGTCTTATATTGTTCTCTTCGGGAGAAATTTTGACCTAGGGTCTACCGAAATAGGGAAAAGAAGAACAAAAGAAAATAGCTATAGTCCGAACAATGATCAAATGGTCAGGGAGTTCTACTCTATTTCGTTCTCCATCTAACCCTTTTCATCGTCATATCCAAACACAGCTTTACTAACGACGACGAACTCGAGACCTCGACCATAAGCAAATATGGACACGCGCATGCAACTTATTCCGGCACCGTGATCGCGATCGTAACGAGCATTTATTTGCTTAATCCCTGCCCGCCCAATGTTTCTTTTTCCTTTATTTCTCAAGCAGTTTAATCGACCTACCGCCGCCGACCAGAAAAGGCGGGTAGAATCCGACATGAACCAATTTCTCGAGTATACATGTGGCTCATTCATATGAGCGAAAATGCGTAACATGACTAGGTAAAGGGACACAAATCAAACTTCTTGGGGATAAACTAAACTTCGAGACAAATTTCAGTTACCAAGGCGTAGTTGCACGCCTGATCATGCAGGGAAAGAGGGCATCTCGGACTTGTGTAGATCTATTCAGATGAAGAATAGGAAAGCAAATCAAGAATTCAAAAGATTCCAGAGAGAAACAAGAAAATTTTGAAAAATCTCTATCCCTTCCAGTTCCGTCCCCACTATTTCTTTCGGGGGCGACAGAGCTACTACTATCACTGAGAAAAAACAGGATTTGTGCTGATAAATATATGCCTTCGCGGGTTAGCGACGTCACCTCCGCCGGCGTGCTTGACGAACTCTGCGGGCGAGAGGAAATTCCCATGGCACACACACACTATCCTAACCTCCTCTCCCTTCCCGTACTTATACAGTATGCCTTCTATTCTCTTCCCGTCTGGACCGTCGCCCCGCGTGAAAACCCAAGGCATATCCACCGTCGCGTTCGCCACGAAATCTTTGCCTACATTATCCACCGAATTGGATTTCCTGGACGGACTCTGTGTTTCTGCTCTTATTAGAGTATTGCTCAGATTCTCATCGACCTTAGACGAGAGCGTACACACCAGTTTATTGTTTGGCTCTTGCAGGTGCTGGTTAACGATGGAGCCGTTGTCATCCCTGCAACTGCTCGATCCTGGGGATAGAAAGGACAAAAGTTAGGATGACGCCTGTGAGTTTTCAAAATTGGACAAGACTTACATTTTATGACCCATTGGCTACCACACAGAATGAAGACATAGAAGTCTCGAATGAGAGGATGGTTTTTTATGTCCAGATAGTGGAAATGCTGCAAACTATCCTGTAGCCAATCAATACAAATAAGGATAAGCTAATTCGGTTTTTCTTCTTTTTGCTTAAACACAGATCAACTCCGGTTCTAAAACAGCCATGCACCAAGTAGATTTATCCGGACAGCTTAATTTAAGCAAACGAGCAGCACAAGTCAGGAAAAATGTGGCTCAATTTTACAGTCCTAGCACTTCTCAACCAAAGATCACAACTTGAGTCACAAACGGGAAGAAGATTTTGCAAAGATCATTTTATGAATAATATGCATACTCAGCCAGAAAAAAAAATTCTAAGTTCCCACTAGCAAAGTTATCTTTCTTTACTCCAAGTGAATTCAGCTCAATCCAGATGGATCATACTCTACTATGTTCGAACCAACTTTTACCAATTCTTTACCTACACGTCACAAGAGGGACATCACTATTTGGGGAGAATGTCCACATCTGCATAAGGCTCGGTCCAGCTGAATATTAGTTCAGTAGTGTTCCCTTCTGAAGCCATATCTACAGAAGGCAGTACTAGACATGAAGATCACTTCTGCTGAGAGAGCATTCATCTCATAGTTATCAAATGAAAATCAGTCAAAGCTAGGGCAACTCTCACTGATCTTCAGGTATAGTGGCAGAAGGCTGAAAGCATTCTCATCAGAGATAACTTCATCGAAATGACTCGTGCTCCGGGAACAAGATTAGTAAACTGAACAATTTCATTATTTGGAATGAGGTCTGCTCGCATTTGCCATCATAAGGTATATGCATCAATTACATGCACTGTAACTGCAAAAGCCAGCAGCATGCTCACTCATTCCCTGAAACGTGCAAGAGACAATGAAAGGGGGGTCTCTTGGCAGTCCTAACCCCAAACGTCTTGCCCATTCAACTATACTGCCCACACTGATGGTTCTCAAGCTCAATTTTCTTACCACAAATTCCACCATAACCGTCATACGAATACGTATGTTATCTAAATCATTCAGCATTGGCTAATAGAGCACTTATATCGACTTCGTCAAGTAAGCACTCCAAACAGTAACCCAGTTCTCAATTTTCACTTTCCAGTGACCACGAATAAGACAGGCCAACAAACAATCGCACAATTTCTTAAGTTGAAATGGAGATAACAGATCCAGCAGAAACAAAGAAGGAAAAATCACCACATTACCTTGAATTAGAGCAGATTTAATATCTGATTCTGACCTATCTAATGAGATCTGTCCTTGTGCCTCCACCCCTGGCACCACCGATCCGCTGCCGCCGCCGCCGCCGGATGCCCCGCACTTCCCTTTGATCGCCACATCGACGACGCCGGCACCAATTAGGGCCTGTTTGGCTGCTTCGGCCCAACCGGCCAGCCCAAAAGGCGGCACCTTACTATTGTAACACCTCATGGCATTCTCAGGGCGTTGGAGGATTCCGTCGTTTATGTATGATTTGATTTCTCGTACATGGCACACCCCATTAGCCACCAAGAACTGATGCTTATCCCTCGAGTTCAACCCCAGTTTGCCCTCGATTTCGGGCCTCTCTTCGTCACAGCCGCCGCTTTCCCTCTCGGTCCTCAAGCTCCTCTGCCTCTCCAACCGCCTCCTCTTCGCCTCCATCCGCCGCAGCGTCTGCATTTCCTTCCTCTTCCTCCACTCCTCCCCCTCCGTCTCCGTGGGCAATGAGGCGGTCCTCATGAGAGACGGGTACGGCACAGGCGGCGAGGTCGCGGGGCTGTCCTCTTCGCCCAAGAGGGTCATCGCCCCGGCTATCGACGACGACCGGAACAGCTTGCTGGAGCTCTTGTCGACGCCGAACTTGCCGCCGAGCGACAGCTCGAGATTCAGCTCGAGCTCCTCCGTTTCTTCGTTGGGTGTCCTGTACTCCGGCCGGTGCGCGCTGCTGCTCGAACACATGAACTTCTGCAGCAGATCTCTCGAGCACTTGTCCATCTCTTATTCCCCCACACACAAGACAACAAAAACTCTTCTCTCTTTTCGAAGATTCGAGTGAGCGGGACTCTCTCTGTCCTTCTTTCCTGTCGAGAATTGGGCAGTTTCGGCAGCTACCAGCCTCGACGCGAAGGGCGAAAACAGCTTCTCGATCTGATTCAGCAGTACCCACATCCCGAAACCTCGGTTTCTTCCCGATTCAACCTCCGAGATCGCAGCTGCTGCTCCTCTCTCGACGGAAAGAGAAGGAAAACGAAGGGGGCGAAACCGGCGAAATTCATGACGAACGCGTAAAAGGAAAAGGTGGGACGAATTTTCCACTTCCCTCTTCTCGCTCCGCGAGAGAGAGAGAGAGAAAGATTACGGCTTGACGAGAGACGAACAAGAAAAAGGAGCGAGAGATAGAGAGAGAGAGAGAGAGAGAGAGACAGAGAGTTCTGCTGGATACCAGACAGAGAGAGAGAGCATGAGAGGTGGAGACGACGGAGGGAGGGAGGGAGGGAGGGAGGGTGGTGGGTGTGATTTACCGAAAATGCCCCTTGGGGGGAGGGGGCCTGCGGGGAGCGAGCTGCCCCCACCACCCCCAAGTGGATGTCCGGAAGGGGGATCGTGGCGACACGTGGCCGGATCGGGGGGCACTGTTTTCCGAGTGGCAGTGTCCTTTTGGCGTCTCCCTCTCTCTCTGTCGCTCTACCCGACAAAACAAAAGCTGCCTACGCTGGGGACACGTGTCGATAATGCGCCAGGCCTGGGCAGCAGGCCACGCGTCGCCCTCCCCTCCGGGGTGGGGGATGTTGGAGCGGGCCACGTGTCCAGACATGCTTGGCCCCCCCGGGGGGGGCGAAAAGCAGCAGCTGCGGCTCCTTTTGTCCTCTGGCGCGGCTGACGTCATCACCACGGGGCGCGGGTCGCTCCGTCCGCCCATACCCGACCCGGTTCGTACCGCGATCGAGCCGATCCCTTTTAAGGATAAGCGATTGCAGGTTCCATAAGCACTTGAAACTTACTCGTTGGAACGTGTTCCTTATTTTTTTAAACATGGAACTTATATTGCATATCCTGAAATCCGGAACTTATCATGTCACATGTTCTAAAGTCCATCTAGGTTCCACTTGTATTATTAATTGAACGATTGTAGTGAATCATCATCTTTAATTATTACCACTTACTGCCGTAATCCACTAATCACAACTTATATTTAAAAATATTAACAAAGTAAAAGTCTCGGTCATAAAATGGAAGCTCACACTAGTAGCTCCAGATTATACATTCATCACCGAACGCCATGAAATAATGCAAGATCATACGAGAAGACATGAATTAAGAAAAATACAAAAACTTATTACGGGTTCTATGTCAATTGAAACAGGTTCTTCAATTTTTGAATTTGCTAGACTCGCTCGTCCTTCCTCAATTTTTGAATTTGCCCAAGATTTTTAGCCAAATTTCAATCCTATTGATAAAATATAATTCGCCATGGAATATATACTCGCAAAAATTAATACTTTATTCGTATATTTTTAATCATCTACTTAGAAAACGAGCTCGCGTCACGTCCAGATGGAGAGAATTTTTGTATTAGCAGCATCTAGGATTTAGCCTCACACGACGTGACAATCATAATTTCCACACGAGTCCGCACGGAGTTTCCCAATCTTTTAAAATTTGGCCCTTTTAAATTTTTTTTAATTCAATTCGGGTCGTATTCCCTAGTTTTTTTCTTGGTCTTTTTTTCACCCGAAATAAAAATAATAATAAAAAAAAAATGTTGCTAGTTGTTTGGGGGGCGGCGGGGTCCACTTGCTGTCGTAAAGAAAAAGGGTGATTTAAGTTTCCACTATCTCAACTTGGTCCCCACTCGAGATTGAATATAATAATTGCGAGGGCCGGGCGATTCCAAAAAATTTTCAGACCGTCCAACATGGAATATTTGGACTATTGATTTTCGGAAATATAATATCATGCAAGTTGATTGATAAATTATTGACTAGACTTTCCTTTTCTTCCCCCAATGAGGGCCGCCAAATCCTTTTTTTTATTGAACCCCGGAAAATATTCCCATTTTCTTGCGCCCTCGAGAAAGGTGGTGGGAAAATTTAATAAAACAAAATGGCGGGACAAGGGAGATCGATTTGATTAATTGTTTTATGGTTTTTTTATTTATTTATTTTGCTTTGGTTTTAGGCTAATCTTTGCTGCTACCCACTTATCCAACTCTTAATCTAGATTGGATTATTGTAAGCAACTTTAGCCTTTCGATCGGCTAAAGGCCACATTCCAAGTCTCGTGTCAATTTGACCGCCACGTCGTCGATAGTGTTCATGATTCGTACTCCAAGAATCGATGATCGAACATCTATTAGAATTTCCACGTGTTGGGGACCGGATGTATCTTTTAATCCCGCGTTATTAAAATGTCGAGATTATTATCTTGACGGATAAACAGCATGCAACTTTAAACTAGCGTAGCGCGTTTTAAAAGAGTGTCGAGACAAGTGAGTTGCGATTAGAACGAGGAAATATCATTCGGATAACAAACCTCGAATGAGGTTAATTGCAATGGTAGCAAAGCCAAGCGGCAATATTAAAGCGTTGGATAATTTTCCTATCCCAGGCATCAATGATATATTGGTCGTTGCGGTGGTAGATAAGCATGTCAACTCAATGTCTCGCATCGGATGAGAGAGATCATTTTGGGTGATCCATATGTAAACACACCAGTTTCGAACGGACAACACCATATGTAGGCACTCAGAGTACTTATTTCGGAGGCTTAATCTTACGAGAAATGGATCGAGTCATTACATATGATATAAGAGCAGGGCCGCCTTCCAATAAATTTGTGGTGTGTGAACGCGCTAGCTGATAACAAAACTAATACCACATATCAAATAGCGGACGATAGCAATGGGTGATATAATCTAACACTAACAAAGATGTCAAGTCTTTAAGTACGGGATCTGATGAAGTATATTTATAGAGATTAGATATTTCCCTGTTATAGAATATCTTTAGAGATAGTATTAGATATTAGGGATATTATTTAATATTTTGTGATTATGTAAGACAACTAATTTCCTTTCATATGCATATTGTTTGAATATTGATATCCTCCTCTATTAACTTGTAAAGTTAAGCCAATTGAGTAAAGATGTAGTCTTTACTGATTCTCTCTCCCTCTCTCTTGAAGATCCTAGAATATTTACATGGTATCAGAGTCTCATCAAACCTTAGTCAACACTCAACAATGCTACTATGGACGTTATTCGTCATGGTACTCTCTTCTAACTGCGAGCAACATCGACAAGCAAAGTTGCCGTCAAATATCAGGTAGTTGTGAGCACTGGAGTCAAGCACACCTTCATTAGGCAACCAAAGATGAGCGTTGTGGGATGATGTCAGCAAGTATTCAGGTAGCCGTGAACATCGGAGTCAAGCACACCTTCATCAAGTAGCCAAAGATGAGTACTGTGGGGTGATGTGGTATAGCTTGCCGTAATTCAAGTTGGGTTTCTACACGATTCCATCAAGGTTGTACGAGAAAGATGTCAGCTTTCTAAGCACGTGTTGCTTTAGCGCTTGTCAAATCGGTTTGTTTAGTGTAGGTTCGGCTTACATGGCACTTGATCACAGACTTTCGAAGAAAGTTGCACCAATCAAAAGTTGCACCAATCATATGCAAGATGGGTGCTCTAGCTTGAAGGGGAGCGATGAAGTATATTTATACAGATTAAAGATTTCCTTGTTAGAGAATATCTTTAGAGATATTATTAGATCCAAACCCACCATTCTGGCCTATTATTGATAGGGATTATTATTTAATATTTTGTGATTATTTAATATAGCTAATTTCCTTTCCTAAGCATATTGTTCGGGTATAAAGTTCTCCACTAATAACTTGTAAAAGTTAAGCCAATTGAGTGAAGATGTAGTCTTTACTGATTGTCTCTCCCTCTCTCTTGAAGATCCTAGAATATTTATAGGATCTTTTAACATCCGATGTTCAAGATGCTCTTTTAAGGGATTCATAAGTATACACCATCAAAATTTGGTACCACCTTGTGTAGTCACTTATAGTACTATTTTTGGGAGGTTTAGGACGCGTTTGGTAACGTTTCTGTTTTTCTATTTTTCTGTTCTTCTGTTTCCTGGAACAAAAAAAGAATAAAAATCTGTTTGGTAACGCATTTTATTTTTCTATTTCCTAGAATAGAAAAATGGCCAAGAAATAGATTTGGAACAGAAATAAAGAAGTAGATTTTTTCTACTTCTTTGTTCCCAGAAAAAAAAAATGAAATAGAAAGGTCCGGTCCTCAAGCCGCGGCCTCAGCTCCTCCTCCATCCTCCGTTGTCTGTAGACCGTCTCAAAGCACCGGTTCGGTCCATTCCCGGCGGGAATAATAAAAAAAATCATTAAAAAATTAAAAAAAATTAAAAAATTCCAAAAATCAGAAAAATTCTCAGAAAATCCATAAAAATCAGGAAAACTCAGAAAACCCATAAAAATTTGCAAAATTCTAAAACTAAAAAAATTAAAAAAATTCATAAAAAATTTTCTAGAAAATAAAAAGAGACAGATTTTGGGAAAGTAAAAAATTTTAATAAACTTTTCCCCAAAAAAAATCAAAAATAAAAAATTCACAAAATGGCTTAGAATAAATTAGAAAATTCCGAAAATTCATAAAAATTAGAAAATTTTCAGAAAAATACCTAAAAAAATTAGAAAATTAGAAAAATTCTCAGAAAATCCATAAAAATAAGAAAAACTCATAAAACCCATAAAAATTTGCAAAATTCCGAAATTGAAAAAATTAAAAAAAATTTCATAAAAAATTTTCTAGAAAATAAAAAGAAACAGATTTAGGGAAAGTAAAAATTTTTAATAAATTTTACCCCAAAAAAATTTAAAAAATTCACAAAATAGCTTAGAATACCTGTGGCCACCCACTTTGAGTGAAATTTAAATTTTTTTAGGTGCCCAAGTGGTATTTTTGAAGATTCCTTAGTTTAGGGATTAAAAGGGGTTTTAAACCCCTAAAAAGGATTACAAAAACCAATAAATCATGCTTATTGGCTTTTTTTCACTTATAACTTGTACTTATAGTTAAATAAAAGATATATATTTGAATGCAAAAAATTGGGAATAGAAATTTTTTTTGTTGTACCAAACACATTTCTGTTCTTTTTCTATTCCAGGAATAGATATTTTGTACAGTTACCAAACGCATTCTCTTGTTAAAAAACTTATTCAGGAAATAGAAATAGAAAAAGCTATTTCTGAAAAGAAATTATTCCCAGAAACAGAAACGTTACCAAACGCGCCCTTAGCCTTTGAATTACTTTTTCTCTCTCCTCGTTAGGGTTCTCTCCTCTTCCTCTCATCTTCACACGGTTTTCTTCTTTAACCTCCATGGAGAGAAGGGTTGAGTTAGATCTCTCCCTCCTCTCCCCTCCCTTTTTCTTTTTCTTTTGCTAATTTGGTTCTCTATTTTTTCTTTCTTTTGCTAATTAAATATTATTTTAATTTTATTAATTTAAGAAGTTTGTTATTTGAGAAAAATAACTTTTATATAATGAATATTATAAACCTATCCACCTTTATCTCACCTCCCCCATGGGATAATTTGACTCATAGGGCCTGTTTGGTAACCGGCTAACAGTGCCTGATTCTATTCCTTTATTCCCGGGAACAAAAAAAGAATAGAAAACCGTTTGGTAAATTTTTTGTTCCCAGGCATAAATTTGTTCCCAGAATTAGTTTTGGAACAGAATCAAGAATAAAAAAAAAAGTTGATTCTTGATTTTGGGAACAAGAATAAAAAATGGAAAAAAAAAATTCTTCTTCTTCTTTCCTGGCCGATGACCGGCCATAGGCCAAGACTGGCGAGCGCGAGGGCTGGACCCTCACGGCTTGGGCGAGGGCTGCCCTTGCTGGATCTGGCGAGGGCTGGACCCTCGCGGCCCTCGCCCAAGCCACGAGCCGTCCTCGCCGACGAGGGTGGCCCTTGCCTGTGGCCGGTTGCCAGCGCCATCCATGGGCCAAGGAAGGAGAAGAAGAAAAAAAGAAAAAAAATATTAAAAAATTCAAAATATTATTAATAAAAAGAAATTTTGTGTAGTTACCAAACACATTTCTGTTCTTTTTCTATTTTAGGAATATAAATTTTGAGCCATTATCAAATGCTTAGAAATTATTTTCGAGAATAGAATAAAAATAAATATTTCTGAACATAAATTATTTTCGAGAATAAAATGGGTACCAAACGCACTCATAATGTATTACTTTTCAAACATCGGATCCTTTGTTTTCACATCATTTGGAAAGCCGTATTCAAGAAAGAAAGCAAAGGAAGAAACGCCGCTTCAGCATCGCCAACCCCCCAACTGATTGAGCTCTCGGGGTCGTCGGATCAGACGAAACCTTGACCGCCCCCCCGATCGAACGGTCCAAAACCCGGATCAAAGTCGCAGTACCGTGGGGTCCGCAGCCCATTTGACTCCGGTCTCGCGACATGTGGAGTGCGGCGAGATTGACCATCCGACAGCAAACCAGCGACCACGTGCAGGCGTGAATCACGTGGTCCCGCCCGAAAGCACGCAGCAGCAACGCCGGGTCCCACCCCTCGTCAACAGCCGCCACGTGTCGATAAAGGACAGGGGTGCCCACGTGTCGAGAGGCAGGTGATGGGTCCCCACCGCGGGTGTCATGGCCACGTCAGCTGTACCATCTTGCGCAGTTTAGGTGCTTTCTTCTTTCTTGCCAGTTGGGTGACATAAGAGAGAGAGAGAGAGATCAAGGCGTAGTTGTGAAGTTGAGTGTATTTCAATTTTCACACGTGGAAATAAGAATAGACCGTCAAATCTAACGAAAATTTAGGTGAAATCTATCATTTTCGATTATTCCAAATTCACTTTAGATCATGTAATATAAACCGTTCACCCTACATGTCGTGTTCGGCTCCCGATAAAACTTATCTTCGGACTTTCATGTCAACCATCTATAATATTATTAATCGATGCAAGCTTTTGATTAAGACAAAGCACTCAGCAACTTCATCAATCTCCACCGAGAGGAATAATATGTTTACAGAGTACACATAGTTCGAGAAATTTGTGTCATGGATTTTTTTATGGTAGTAACTCATTTCTTTATTATTCTTTAGGTTAATAGTGCAGAAAATCCAAAATCGGTACTCTCGTGATAAATTTACCTCAAATTAAAATCCCAAACCGGTATATTTGCGATAAATTTACGATCCGTTAGTTTCCTTTAAACTTTACCGTTAAATTACTGAGTTAGATGACACGTGACAGTTGACAGGTGTACCAGTAGGTGTACCTGTTTGTGATTTTTGGTTGTATTAATCCAATTTAACGGATACTAACGGAAAGTAAATTTATCACAAATATACCAGTTTGGGATTTCTGTTGGTCAAAAAATTAGTTTTGGGTAAATTTGTCATGAGGGTACCAATTTTGAGTTTTTTGCGGTAAAAAAAATTAGTTTAAGGTAAATTTATCATAGGTGTATCAGCTTTGGATTTTTCGTGATATCGAGATGAACCCCTTTTCCTTTTTGGTTAATAAGAGCGAAAGGCGTGAATTACCGAGATTAGAACTAGGGGTGTGGAAAACGGACTGCTTGGACCGGACCAGCTAGTTGGGTCCCATTCCCCAAAGTGTCGGTTCGGTTACCGGTTCCTAAAAGTGGAAACGGTGTTCGGTTCTCGATTCCAAAGGAAAATCGAACCGGATCGGGCAAACTACATATATTTATTTTATCGTTTTATTTTTTTAAAAAAATTAGTAAAACGTGAACTAAATCTACATACAACGCTTTTTCTTTATCGTCGCATCACAATGACTCTTTACTCGTCGTCACTTCCGTCAATATATTGAGATTTATCTCTTTCTATCTCATTATGGTGGAAGAAAATGTGACCAATTTCATTGGATCGGACCATTAGATGGACAATACGAAGGACGAAATTTTCAGGAAGTGGCAGTAGTCACCTAATCTAGGATTAGTAGAAGAGGCAGCAACAACAATAATGATAAAGAATAATGTGGTGGGGGAAAGGGACGTCAAAGGGCGGAGGAGGATATCTTCGGAGAATGATTTGCTGGGGACGTGTCGTCGACGTCGACGGGGAGAGAGAAGATTCTCCACGCAGCGCACCACGCCGCTGCTCGACACGTGTTGCTCAGATAAAGCGACGTGACATTCGTCTGACACGACAATGTCTGGGAGGACGCGAGCGCAATTTCAGGAATTTACGGGATCTGTCCCTCTACGACACGAGCCCATACTAAAAACCGCTTGCTTACCAAACCAACCCTAAATTTTTACTCTAAACTTTTTCTTTCTTTCACGTAAAAAATCCCAAATTGTACATGTATAGCACGTTTACCCCCAGTCAAAATTATTCTATCGATGAGAAGCATTAAAATCTACTTACATAGATGCCGAAAAGAAAACAATGTTGACATACGACATTATTTTAACTAAAAAAATCATCTAACGAAACATTGATGGAGAGTAAATATATCATATAAGTACAAGTTTGAAATTTTTATGTTACGGAAAAAAGTTTAGGGAAAATAGGCCACAGTAGTGGGTATAGTTTTTGGGTTTTTGATGTCACGAAAAATTCAGGTGAATGTATTATAGCGAGTATAGCTTGAGTTTTTTTTTTGGTCTTTTCCAAAATTTATTTTTGCAAAATTTTATCATAGTATATATGTTTTTTTCTCTCACGATTTGATGACACGATTTGGCAAGCACTCCAATGATCTTTGTTGACAAATCTATATTCACTAACTTGATCAAATGACACTTGTTCAATTTTGGATTACTTACTTTTGCCATGATTAACTTTTATAAACATATCTATGTTTTTTTTTATTTAATTAGTTGTCATAAATATTAAGCGCAGGACAATTACCTTTCTCCCTCTCGTATATATTTTCGTCTAATTAATTCAATTAAGCAATAAGGTCAACAGGAGAATTCAATGTATATTTTCTTTGAGTGAGAAAATTATGAGCACAGGAGTGCCGAGTACAATGCAATTTTTGATTTCGAATTTATTATGATTTGGATTATTCATATTCACAATGATTACTTTTCTTCATATCTTTTTTATTTTATTATATTTATTCAATTCAAGATTTTTTTTGATCTAACTCAATTCAATATTCGTATTCTTGAGTAAGTAAGGCTATGGCTACTTGAATTCCAATTCGAATGTTCACTTAGATTTGTCACTTTTCAATCGATTTCAATTTGGACTTTTCACTTTTATGATGACAACTTTGATCTCGATATCATTCTAAAATCAATAAGTTCGATCAAGTGAAAATTGACGAAGATTAAACATTTCTTTTATTATGCTACAGTAATAGTTTTTTTCATTGTAGGATTAAAGAGATAGTATGAGAAGAAGTTCACGCTGGGCGGGCGATCTAGCGCTACACATTAAGCGAGAAAAGCCCGGCCCAAAACTTAAAATAGAATCAAGCCCTAAAACCTAGCCCGAACCCAAGCTATTCGGGCCAAAGGAATCGAGCTGGCCCGGATCGGGTTTTCGGGTTTTAATTTTCACCCAAAGGGAGCAGGAGAGCCCTCTCCCCTGCCAACTAGTGAGCTCAACTTCTTTTGGGTGTACTTACAGAATCATAAAAAGGTAATATAGAGTAACTCTAAACTTAGCATAGCCTTGCCCAAAAAAAACCGATTACGAGGTACGATATCAAACCTAGTAAAGACACGGCAAGAAAAACGAGTCGAGATTGGACCGTCAAAAAGAAGTCATATGTCATAGCCCCATATTTCAACCCATATTCTATCGAGCTGGGCTATAATATGAACCACCTTAAATTTAAAATTCGGGTCATGTTGGATCTCAAAAAGAAAAAACCCGAATTTAGATACCTCTTCAACTCGACAGCTATCTAAATTCCAAACGTGTTCCGGACAGCAATCCAATGTCAATTCAAATGACAACCTCAGGTCTCCTCCCCTACAACATTCATATCATATCATCTCAAGAAATCAATTCAAACACTAGTTACTAGACCACCAAGCAAAAGGATGAGATTAGAGACAGACAGGCAAGCAATAGATATGAATCGTTCATAGGACACGGGCGGAAAATCATATAGATGGAATTTTTTTTTTTAAAAAAAGAAGACCAGATAATTATTCTGTTACAAGGGGAAAAATTTTTCCCCAATTAACTAAAAGGAGCAGAGAGTCTAAAGAGCAAATCGTCATAGTAGGGAATTCAAAGGCAATCTCTCTGGAATTACTACCGATCAAAATCTGAAAAAGCCGCAATCTAAACCCGGAGAATCTCCTATAAGATTACCTAAAAATTTGTAAGAATCTCAATTTTTTACTGCTCAAAAGCAGAGCATCACCGAGCAGCACAAAGACAGTACTATCGCGGCTTAGGTGTTGGGCGGGGGCCTCTTCCTCCTCCGTTCTGATACTCCCCCCTCTGAAAGGTCCCGCCGTTGCGCCCCCCGCCGCCGCCGCTCCGTCCCGAGAAATCGGGCTTCCTGTCGGAGAAGCTACCGTGGCTTCTGTAGTGATCGTTCCGGAAGCCACCCCTTCCTTGCGACGCCTTTCTGTCACCGCCATCTAAAGCAACGCACCGAATCGACTGTCAGTTACGATGCTAATACTCTTGCCCAGAAAGAGCCGGGTAAGGAGCGAGACATGGCAGAAAGATGACTTAAAAAAAAAAAAAAAAGCTGCTATCAGAATTTAGTTCTTTTATTTTCATGGATAATTCAGGTGTGGCGGTAACAAAAGAGAACTATACAGGACTTGCCTTTTTTCTGTTCCTCAATATGAGCCTTTCGGGTACCAATCATGATGGAGTTTTCCTGGAATCAAAAGCATTTGACACATCAATATGAATAAATATGATAAAACATTGCATCAGCTCCTGATTAGCAAGCTCATGTCAGACAAAGCAAACAAACATTCATTTAACCCCTCGATGCATTAGAAACAACACTAGGGTCCACCGTAGACATACTAATTTAAATCTGCCCATTTAATTATTTCTTAGGCAATAAGTCAACTGTCATTATCTCAGACAGCAATAACAACATCAAAGTAATGCGATACATAAGAAAAGCCAGACCTAAGCATGCGCTCAGTATAGAATATGTGAAGAATATACTATAATTCAGCCGTAACAAGGAAATTAAAGATGATATGCGTGCAACAACACTGCAATACAAGGTGAATGTAAGCAAAAAAGAAAGTTTGTGAAACCACAGAAGAACCGTAGTTGAAAAGCAATGCAGCTTTATTCCTTGCCAAAGCGAATTCCTCTATCATTGTGTAATCAAATAGTGAATAATATCTAACTTCAGAACTGCAGGAATGAACAAAATTTTCAATTATGGCTTCAGGTTAAAGGAAACTAAAAAAGTACCTCAAGAGCACTCAGCATAGAACTCTCAGCTTCAAATTCTACAAAGCCATAACACGAGCCCTGCAACATGCAGACAAGTTTCACAAATTACAGAGACATCAAGACTAAATATCTGGGCATGCCACTTATTTTTCACCAAGGTACAATCCCTGACCTTACTACTTCTAACTTGAATGCCATTGGGTTTGATAGAACCGAATCTCTTAAAGGCAGCGTCAAGTTGATCTGGTGTTGCATCCAAAGGCAAGTTGCCGACAAATATAGAATGGCGCTTTACTGAGGGAAGGCACCACAAACAGAAGAAGTTACACTCATGATATAGAGGAAGATGTTTAACAAACAATAGAGATGTCCGGGCATTATAAAAACAGAAAGGAACCTGCTGGACTTTCATTCTTTTCAGCAGGAATGCTTTCATTAGGTACAGGAGCTTTGGGAGTCGTAGGCACACGCAGTCGTGCAACAGGCTTTGAAACTGAAACCCTCATTTGAAATGGTGCAGCACTATCATTCAGAGCACTTACCTAAACCAGATCGATAATACATTAGACATGTCAACTCAGTAAGATCACAGGGAACTCTTAAACAACACTTACAATTGATGCAAAAGACTTCTTAGGAGCATCAACTTGAACATCAGAAGAAGTTATAGCGACCGTGCTAACATCCTTTTCCCTTGAATCAGCTGCGTGTTCAATAACAATTTCTTTTCCATCAGCAGACTCCTCCCCGTTATCCACAGCATGAACAATTTCTTCGACCTGAAGAGTCTCTACCTCCACAGGTGGATCAATGACTTGAGCTGGCTCTGCATTGAAAGCAATAACAAATTTCTCAATCGAAATTATCAACACAATACATCACATGACAGCATCATAGAGGAAGATGCATCATTAAAAGAAAATAAGAAAGAGAAACCAATAACACATTAACCAACCAGGATCTGGCACAGGAGGAGCTTCAACAGCCTTAAGCTCCTCATGTTTTTCTGCTGGAGAGACAGGCGAGGGAGATTCACCTTCCACATACCTAAAAATATCATTCAAGACAAAATAGCCACCATTGTCTTGCGGAGCTAAGAAAAAGGACTGCGTGAATATCCTCCTTATGTCATCCTCTCCCATTAAGCAGCCTGTAACTAAAACTTGAACTCCACCCTTGTAAGAAGCCTGAGCATCAGCAGTCAAAATCTCAATCTTGTATTTCTCATAATTTAATGAGAGGATTTTTTCATTAATTTCCTGCAACGAGATAAGAAAAAGAGTCACTGCACTTGAATATAGACATAAGGGTCTAACTGAAGAGATGAGTTGCAAGCAGATCCATGTAAACACAATGTTATAAAGAATGGAAGTTTCTATTAGTATGCAAAGCTGATTGTCATCAGTTCAGTAACTCTCCCAAGTATGCTGCTCCAAGGAAAAGAAATATGCCAATATAATGAACAATTCAGCATCTTAAAACTTAATCCACTCATGGCAATTCGAGCTGAAAAAAAATTGTGCCTCACAAGTAAAAAGAAAAAAAGTGCATCCCAAAAGAGCAACCGAACTTTCCTATCAAATCACACTATTACCCTGGAGTTACATCCACCCCAACCACCACCAAAAATAAGTCTGCTACCAAAAAAGCAATGAGATCAAGTGCTAGCACATGGAAAAACACTCCTTTCCAATAAATCCTCACCTGCAACGTCGTCACAGAGATCATCTGACCATCTGGTCCTGGCCTACTTAGCTCACTTATTTCGTGATAGAATCTGTGAGCAACTTGTGGGTTGTTGTGAAGAATACTATAGTACTGCTCGATGAAGGCGTTGCCCACAGATTTGGGGTCAGGTGGGCTGCCATTGGTCTGTGCCGCCATCTCTGCATCCCGACAGTAAATACATTAGGCACGGCATGAATACAGATGAAAATAGTATCCAAGGAAGCAAGAAAACACCATAACCAAGGTCCTCGAGCAACATACAGAATAGTACTGCTCTAACCTAAGAAAACTGGGCAGCCACATGATTGGCAGTCTCACACTCTATAGCAAAGCGATCCAGCATCCAAGGTTTTTATCAGTTGGAAAAAACTCTAAAGTTGCAAGAGAAACAAACAAAAAGACCAGGAGACACACAGCCCCCCGCTTTCCAATTCAACGACGACCCGATCAAAACAAATTCCATATCGAGTTCAAACAATCCCCCAACGAGATACCCACCAACCAAAACAGCCGACACTGTGCACAGAGCCCCGCTCGAAACCCCCAGATCTATCGGAACAACACACAAAGGCTCGACCTTTCCAACACAATCACGACACCCACTCGCGAACATCGACAAATCACCGCGACAATCCCCACAACCGCTTCGACACACTAGCGATCCATTCAAAATCCTAGGCGGCGGCGGCTGATCTCCCCGCGCGGCCGATGCGGGCAGCTAAAAAGGACGGACTTTTACTGCATCAAGAGCAGCGCCGAGACAGCAGATCGACGCGGCGACAACACGAGACGAATCGAAAGATCGAAGAGAGAAAGAGAGAGTGACAGAACCTCTCGGAGGCCCAGCGAGAGAGCGCCCGAAGTTGTTGGCGCACGAGGGCGAACGGGAGGAGAGAGAGAGACAGACAGACAGAGTCCAGCGATCTCAAAGCCAACTCCCCCACCCCCCAAGAAGAGAGCTTTTATAGTACCGATCGAAAGGGGCACGTGCGGCGCGTGCGAACCGCACGGGGAGAGGGAGAGGGAGAGGGAGTGGGAGAGGGAGAGGGAGGGGAGGGCTCGTGCTCGTGTGGATCCGAGCGCAGGGGATCGCCCGGGGGTGAATCCGTCTTCGGATTTCGCCTGAACGGCTGCGATCAGATCACATGCGAATGGGCGGTTCGCCCTCCTTCCTTCCTTCCTTCCATCCTTGATTAGCGAATTGGAATTTATGGAGGCGATGCCCGCCATTCAAGGAAAGTGAATCCATGATATCGAGAGCGAATTTGGGTAAGAAGTAAGCTTCGGATCTTTTCAATTTGTGATGTTTTGAATTAGATTAGATTAGATTCGGTTTAAATTTCGGAAAAAAGACATTTTACAAAATGAGAAGTTAATTTTTCAAATGTCAATACATCGGTGATGATGAAAAACAATAAATGTGTCGAAATTCCCCTATCTTTGTATCCGAGAAAAAGAAAGAAAAAGAGTAGGGCAGAAGAGTCAACATATTTGACTTTTCGTTTACGAGCTTGAAAATAATAATTGACTAGACGTGGAAAAAGCGGCGACAGAACAAAAAAAAAGGGGTAAAAGGAAATTAGAAGAAAAAGCCCCCGGCGAGGATCGAACTCGCGACCTTTCGCTTACGAAGCGAACGCACTACCACTATGCTACGGAGGCTCGTTGCTTCTGACTGACCAACTAAAGTTCCAAAATTAAAAACAAGGGCGGAAATTGCCAAACCTACGGCCCCCAGGGCCATCGTCGCTCAGTTTCCAAAACCCTCCTAGCAGCTGCTGCTGCTGCTGCTGCAGAGGGAGAAAGATGTGCGGAATCGCGTTGATAGCATCTGGAATTCATCTCGATCCTGCGTGTTCCGCCCCTGAATCTCAGCCCGTAAGTCTTTCGCCCCCTTGTCCTGTGCATTCTTCGCCGTCTTTTGAGCGTGTCGATTAGGCCATGGGCGGTCGCTTGTTGTCGCCGCCGTCGCGAGATCATCCCAATGCGCGAGCCCGGTTATTTTGGTTTTTGTTTTTCTTATTCTGTATGCGATGTCCTCGAGAAGAAGGTAGGAATCGAACCGATGTATTTAGATTTGAGCGGCTTTGACTGAGTTGGCCGCGCCGTGGGCTCCTGTCATTGGCAGCGGCTGAAAGACAGCTGGCGAATGAGCCGGCAAGGCGGGCCTTGCTAAGCGTAGCGTTTGGACCCGATGAGAGAGTTGCGATCGAGTTGAATGTGACGAACTCGCACACCACAGGGGGAAAATATGAAACATGCGAAGAACTCTTGTTTCCATTGCTAAACTGCAGGCATTGCAGCCTCACGGGTGCCATTACAGCACCCTCGGGACGTTTTCCAATTTTTATTGTCCGTTCAATGCGGAGGTGAGGTTCACAGGCTTTGCAATTGCATGGTGCGCCAGCTGGTTTTCTCTTAATGCAAGAAACAAGGACCATTTTGGCTTGTTGCCGCGAGATGGGAAAAGCCAATTTTGTCCACCAATCTTAGTGGATCGCTTGCTTGTATTATGAGATCCTGCTGTTCTAGTTGAAAATTGCGGGAGTTGGATTGGCAAAGTTGGAGCTGCATGCCCGATACCCATGGATCATGTCATAGCTCGTGTACAGTGCCTCGGGAGATTTGAGATTTTCATATTTTACTGTTAGCGGGTGCCCAAGTTCCCTTGTCTATTATTATCTCAATAGCAACCTTTTAGTTTTAATATGTTGAGAATGAGTATATTTTATTGACATGGCGGACAAAAACTAGACTGACCAAAGTTACCTTATGCGTTTCATTTCCAAACCACTTGTTCAAGCTCAAGAGATGCCCTTCCTTTTTTTTTTTTATTGTGAATTTCATAGTTTTACTCTATCTGTTCACATTTCATTGACTGGTACGTGAATGGCCACCAGCTGCCGTTATCTCTTGATGATCTTAAGGGAGCTCTGCTGAGGAGGGGACCTGATAGTCTGGGCAGTAAAAGGCTATTGCTTCATTCAAATAGTTCCAGTTTAATCAACAAGCAAGAGATTGTTACTTCTATTGAAGAAGAAGTGACTGTAGACTCCTATTCGGCAAAGGGAAGTTTTTCCAGTTCGTTCCAAAATGGAGAAACTCCTGTGGAGGAGAAGGCCTTTGGTATCCATTCATTTGTCGGAGAGCTGCTCTTTCTTGGCGCCACATTGCAACTTAGGGGAGTGAGTCCTATCGTTCAGCCATTGGTGGATAAATTCGGGAATATCCTTGTTTACAATGGTGCGTCCATTTTAATGTGCATAGATATGATGCAGAGATTATCTCATGGATATTGAATTTGTTCTGATAATAGACGCAGAGATTGTCTCTTGGATGCTTGAAATGTTTTTGTGATGCATTCAGGTCAATGACGGGCTCAGTAGAACATGCTGCTAAATTGTTTCGGTGTCCTGTGTAGAAAATTGTTGGTGTGTTTTGTCTTATAAAGTGACATTATTAGCAGGCTTTTTCAACTTCCGTTGGTGAGTAGCTTGATGTTTCATGCATCTCGTATTGAAATTGGATGTCATTCACTATTGTTCACCTCCACAGCCAGTCACCATACCAGCGCCCCTGACTGGTTGCTACCTTTGTTCATTGTTTGTTTTGACCAGTGCTGTGGTCAGCTGTAACCAATCATCAGTTTTCACTGGCATCAGTCACTACTGGGCAGCTGCCACCATCAGCAGTTACTAGTATCTTTGGTAGCCACTACTGTGGCTGGTAACCTATCACCTCAGATCATTTTCTGAAATTTTTCAGGAAGAACTTCTTGTAAACATGCCAATCCAAATGCTGGAAACGTTTATTTCTAAGTTAATTTTCATGAAAAGGTTCTTTGATGAAATCTCCTTTCAATAGGAAGCTTTCACGATAATGGACTCCTTACATCAACAACTATGGAATTGGCTGTCCAGAAGTTGTCTTTCTGTCCTGGGAGCTCTGTCGCTCTTCATCTTTGTTCACAATTCGTCTCCTCCTTCTTTTTGTCCTTTCCTTTTCCTTTTTGTGCTGATTGCCTGAACCTGTTTGTAAGTTAGTCCAATCTACCTCTTGCTTCTGCGTTCTTTCTTGATGAACTTATAATGAATAAGCAGGTGAGATTTTTGGAGGAATATCCGTGGGATGTGATGAAAATGATGCTGAAATTCTTTCGCAATATCTCGCAAGATGCTGCTTCGGTTGCTCTCATGGGGATAATTGTTCAAGTCGCTGTTCTGGCAATGAGGAAGCTTCTGTTCCAGATGTTCTTTCGAGAATAAAGGGTCCATGGACTATCATTTATTGGCAGGTAACTTTGCGTGGTAAGTTTCCACTTATGTTTTGCGAGCTTTTCCTTTGTAAGCATACCGAGCTTTCCCTTTTGTTTGCTCTATTACGCAATCTCGGTGTTTTCTTTTAGAATTGTAAACTGTCTATTTTTTTTTTGTAAAAGAGCTTCTTTTGAAGATCTGCTCTTCTGTTGCACATTGTGGTTTTGTTTGATGCATCAGAATAGTTCAAGAACCCTCTGGTTTGGTCGAGATGCATTTGGCAGACGGAGCCTCCTTGTTCACTGGCCAACTGCTGAAGACCCCCAATTTCTGCTTTCTTCTGTGGCACCTACTTTGGTCGAGCACAGTTCTGGTACATAATGCTTGTTGAGTTAACCATCACTGATGGTCACCGACGATTTGTATGTGTCACGAATTTTGCTTTAGTTAAGTTATATCTTTCAGCTGCAGGTTTGCAATTCGAAAATGGAGTCAACCAGGGGAAATATTGGGAAGAGCTCACCTGTGGGATATATAGCATGAAAATTGATGCTTCGATTTTGAATGGCCATCTAGTTGGTGATATCAAAAGACATGAGTGGAATAATTCCACGGTAAAGAAACTGATTCACTGGGAAAGAACTTATGTTGAGCCGACTGCTGAAGAGCTAAACTTGTCCCGAGGTATGGTGAGAACCATGACATGGTACCAACTTCTTTTGTCATCGTGCCATCTAAATCAAGTTAAAGTGGCAGAAAACACCTTGATTGTCAATGTCATTTTCGCGATTGTAGATAGTGTTGAGAAATAGAAATATTACTTTCTCAACAATCCGCAGCAAAGTGAAAGCAGTTTTTTGTTTTCCTATAATTTGGAAGTGAAAGTAATTTTTTATCCTCATCCATGAAAAGATACTAGCGAACTAAATTGGGGGTATTGTCTTGCTGAGGACCTCTTATATATGTTCTCCCCTTAAATAGGGTTTGGAAAGGCCTCTCCATCAGTGCCAGCTGAGAAAGTTCTGACTGCTTTGAGGGAATCTGTCCTGCGTCGGACTTCTCATAAATTTTTTCAGGTATCATTTGATTAAATTTGGTTGTTAATTCTACATGTGAGATAAATAGGCTAAAGCTGCCAATCTTTAAAAAAATTTATTGTTAGTTTCATGGATCATGGATGGCTAATTCTCTTATCCGTTGAATGGGTAAGTCTTTTTTAGGTAGAAGGTAACATCAACTTTAGATCTTCTAGGATTTTGTTTTTCCAAAGACTTCCTTGACCTTTGCAGAAGTACACATGTTTTTACTATTCTAGGCCATAATTTCCATTTGTACGGGTACTTGGAGCAATTCTTTGAAATACTTCTGGGCAGTCCCGCCTTAAGTTAGTCTCAACTCTGGTTCTGGTTATTATAACCAGATATGACCGTTGTGTGAAAGCTTATGCTAAGATTACACATGGAACTTCTTTTCCTTTTTCCTTTTTTGGTCTCATATAACATTCACATAGTTTGGTCACTTCTGCTGATATAATTTTTGGAATT